CACGGACCGCGAGATCGTGACCTGGCTGAAGTCGGACGCTTAACCGACTGCGCCACCCAGGCGCCCCGCCACCAGCTTTTAATGTAACGTGTGTCTCCCCTCGACAGCATCGTTGCACAAAATAGGGCCCAGAGGTAGGACATCCGCACAGCTTCACAGTCCACCACCTTCCTTCCTGCAGACATCCTGTGACGGTGAGTTTCTCATCCCCTTTGTTCTTACTGCTACAATTTTTAACAAAAACAAAAAAATTTTTTTCCTTTGGATTTTATTTACCTAAAAGCACTTGAAAAGAAAAGGAAAGGTGGCATGTCTAATGCAAGGAAGAGAAACTGAAGTGAAATTATGTAAAAAGGCATATGAAGAATCTGACACAGACAGAGACGGGGACTCAAAAAATAATATAGCTGACTGCAGAAATCATCTGAAAACGCTCAGTGTGCATGAGTAATACACAAGTTAATTAAAACGGCAAGAAAAATCAGAAAGCATATAACAAGGAAGGCAGATATCCCAGGGTTAGAAAACACCCAGGTTTTGACTCTGAGGAGCACCCTGGAGGCCCAGTTACTGCCTCTCTCTTTCAGGGCTCGCTGCTGCTTTTCCACATACTCCTGCACCTTGGTCAGGAAGCGCCTGTGCTCTTCCCCGTGGGCACTGCCCCTGTCTTGCAGCAGCATCTGGGCTTCAAAGAAGAGGCTGTTGGTGTGGAAGGCGCCCTGGCTCTCCCTCTCCAGCCTCTCGACCACGGCCATCAGCTGGGCCCGCTGCTCCCCCTGCTCCTCCCCGGTGGCCTTGTTGTTGAAGGCGCAGTATCTCTTGCTGCACTCCTGGACCACGCTCCTCAGGCTATGGTTGTCCGTGTTTGCGACGTAATTGTCCAAGGACTCGCCCATCAAGTCCTCCTTGTGGGTGAAGAGGACCACCATGTGTTTCATGGCTTCTTCCCCGAAGATCTCCATCACCCTCCTCACCGCCACCGTGTCCTGGGCGGTGAAGCGCCCCAGCTGGGTCACCAGCAGCAGCACGTGGGGCCCCGGGGCAGAGAGCAGGTAGCAATCCCCGATGTCCTTGTACGTGTCCTGGGTCTGAGCCCCTGCCTCGAAGATGGGGGGTGTGTCAACCACCAGGATGTTCCTTCCATCCCAGGTCCCTGTCTCTGCCTGGCACTTTCTGGTCACAGGCTGGCTCCTCAGCTTGGACTCGAACACTGGCTGGCAGAGGATGCTGTTCCCTGTGGCACTCTTCCCGCTGCCTGTCTTGCCCACCAGGATGATCCTCAGTGAGGACGATGTTGCAAACCAGTTATCTTCCCCTCTGCCTATGAAAAAACCAATTTGTGTGTGTCTTACTAAGTTAGTGATTAAGATTTCCAGGGCAGGGACCTTCATGGAATCGCATGAAAACTCGTGGACCTCCCTGTCGCCAAAACAGTCACATCTAAATACATATGAAAGTTCGTATCCTTTAGGATGTTCTTGGATCAAAGAAAGCCTATGTTAGAAATTAGAAGCTTGGACCCACAACCAAGGGAGGGACCGCTCCACTGAGAAGAATGCTCTAAGCACTTCATCTACAGCAGGGAAAATACAGCTTTTTTTTTTTTTTAAAGGAATGTGATCCCAGGGCTTTTCCATAGATGGTGCTTTGGTCAATTTCATGCAAGATAAATGTGAGATTAGAAGGAGGCAGAGGATGAGAAGCCACGAATGAGAAAACATTATCACCTCTTTTCCACCCACAAATCCCCAGGCTCAACGCACACATATGAACCTCAGGCATAAAGTGCATCTCAGCTGTCAGAGCTTCGGTGACCTCCCGCCAAGGACTAGCTGAATGTCCCTGGATGTCTGCTCTGTGGGTGGGCAGCTGGAGGCTTGAAACTGAGATGACAGAAGGTTGTTAACGTCAAGAACAAAGTCTGGGAGATGCCCCTGGATGGAAGGCTGAAGAAAAGTGGAAGAAAGGACATTAGAAGCACATGTGTTGGAGATATCTGGCTGAGTGAACTACACAGGAAACTGGCTGAGTGAACTGCACAGGGAGGTGTTGCAGGTGGGGTGACACGAGCCAAGAGCTAAAATCTTCAAGGGTTGGAGGGGGGTGAGAACCTGAGGACTTTTAGAGTTTTCATGAGTTCAAATGAATTAAGGCCATTTCAGGCTCCTAAAATCTGTTATTTTATTCCTTCTACTTGGTGTTGGTTCCTCCTCTCCTTAAGCATTTGGAGCATGCAGGGTTACTAAATCTCTACGGGAACTCTTCCTCTTTCCAGTTGGGAGCAGACAAGGAAAGAGAAATTGTTTTCACAGCCTGGTTCCAAATCCTCCAAACCCTGACGTGAAGTCTCACCTCCACATTTCCCACCGATCATGTGCAGGCGAGAGTGTGCTGGGCACGATGATGACAGGGAAGGGGAAGAACAGGGGACAGTTGTCTCTTTCTTCTTCAGCTTATTTTTTTTTTTAATGTTTACTTATTTTGTGAGAGGAAGAAAGCGCGAGCAAGGGAGGGGCAGAGAGAGAAAGGGAGAGAGAGAGAATTCCAAGCAGCCTCCTCACTGTCAGTACAGAGCCTGTGGCAGGGCTGGATCTCACAAACCATGAGATCATGACCTGAGCCGAAATCAAGAGTTGAATGCTTACCTGACTGAGCCACCCAGGTGCTTCTTTATGTGTATTGTCTTCGGTGATATGTTTCTTCATATCGCCCATTTTTTATTTATTATTTATTTTATTTTTGATGTCTTAGTATTAAGTTTGAAGATTTCTTTTTTTTTTTTAAATGTCTATTTATTTTTGAGACAGAGAGAGACAGAGCATGAACAGGGGAGGGTCAGAGAGAGAGGGAGACACAGAATCCAAAGCAGGCTCTAAGCTCCGAGCCATCAGCACAGAGCCCGACGCGGGGCTTGAACTCACAAACTGCGAGATCATGACCTGGGCTGAAGTCGGACGCTCAACCGACTGAGCCACCCAGGCGCCCCATGAAGATTTCTTTTTTGAATATACCATAAAATTAGGTATGGATTTTTCCAATATTTTCTCCCAGTCTGTAGCTTATATTTTTTCATTCTCTGGACAGTGTGTCACACCAAAGAGTGCCACCCAGGCACCTCCTCAGTTTAAAGTAACTGGGTTTCTGTCCCCGTGTTTGAGGTGAGAGTCGGTGGAGACAGAACAGTGATGCTCCCGGGTGCCTGGAGCTCCTGCAAACACCAAGGCTTTCTTACCTTCAGTCATAGTTCCATATCTGCTTCTCTGAAGCCCTTCCATTCTCTTCTGGAATAAAAAACAGGAAAGGAATAAAAGCAAGTGTCCATATGGGAGTTGCTAAGGCCTGAGAACACTTTCAATTCAGACAACTAAGAATAATTATCCTAGGATGAGCCATTTCCATTGCTAATTTTCTAACTCATATTATACTTCCAAACATCTATGAATAACTATGCAAGCCAGGCAAATTTAAGTTAGGTTATGTTAACGCAATGCACTGTTGCTTTTTTTTTTTTTTTCAACTTATAGGAAATTAGGAAAGATTTTTAAAACGGAATCAGTTGGTGTTTCTTTCTCCAACTTGAAAAGGCATGAAATGAAGAAAGCATTCTTCTATGGAAGCAGGAGTGGGGCATTATTATTAGTTGGAATCAAAGTAGGCAAACTTGCTAGAATACAGAGAAAAAAACAAAACCCTGCCTTTCTGTAAATAACACTGGTTTGTTTGAAGTACTGAGAGTTTTTGCTCCCAGAAACTGTGTCAGATACTCCATTGGCAAAGAGGAAAGCACAATGTTCCTTCCAGTGGGAGAGCGGGATGGGAACAAGGTTAACTTTAGGCACTGACAGCAGAGGAAGTAGTTGTAGAGGGCCGAGCCCCAGCACCTTCCTTACCACCCCATCCCCCACTTGGCCCCACCCCAGGGAGTTTGGTGGAGAGAAGGTGGGGCCATGACTGAAGGGACAGAATCAACATTCAGGACAAATTCAGGATAAACTCATTGCCTGCTCAGATCTTAATCCAACTTCTTTCCTGGTGGGCTCTGAGGTCCTGGTCCCCAGATAATCGCCTTTTCTGTATCTCAGCGGATTTAATCAGAAATCGGCACCAGGATTGGCATAAATGTTTCATTCAAATGAGGCAGATTATTGGGTCATTCTTCTTGGTATTAGGAAAGGTAAGTAAGCATTAGATAAGGCAGGCACGAGACATGCAATATAATTAAGATGAACTCTGAGGTTCTTTGTCTTTATCCAGGTTTAAAGATTACGCGGTTTTGAAACACATTTTTTAAGTGGAGAAATGCATGAAGTAGCTACCATTTGCAATGAACAAATGTAAATATTTGGGCATTTTTACTGGAGCTATTCTGTTTGAAAAGTCAAACGTTACACATATAGTTTCATTAACATTGTTTGGCTCCCCAGCCTTATTGCCCCTCCCTCTGTCCTCTGAAAGACAATATTCTGAGGATTTTATGGATCATTCTTGTTTACCTATTTATACTTCTGCATACACATGTCTCTATAGATAATGCATAGTACTGGTTTTGTATTTTAAGCTTTTTATGTAAATGACCTTGTTTATGGAACATTTTATCAATTATCAACAAACTTTGAGCTGTTTCAAGCTATGTGCTTGTACTATCAACAATGCTGCAAAAGAATCCCCATGTATGTCCTCTTGTGCACACGTGCAGCAATTTACCTGGGATAAACAGCTGCCATCTGACTAGGTATTGCTAATTATGCCCCCAGGATGGTTGTGCTAACTCACATTGGCACCAGCCACGTATGAGAATTCCCAAACCTTCACTGGCATTTGGTGATATTAGGCTTAATGTTTTGTCGCTCTTCTGGGCATAAATAAGGATATCTTAATTGGTTTGAACTCGAATTTTACTAATTGCCATAGAATCAAAAGTGTTTTTCATAGCTTATTGGCTATTCAGGTGGCTTCTGTCATATAGAAATAACTTCTGCATGCTTTTCTCCTCATGCAGTGGATGTGTTTTTTTTTGTTTGTTTGTTTTTGTTTTTGTTTTGTTTTGTTTTGTTTTGTTTGGCCCTCCTTAGGGGAAACCATCCTCTTCCACATTATCAGAATATATTAAGACAATTTCCTTCTTTTCCCTTCTTCCTTTCCTTCTCTTTCCTTTTCCTCCCCTCCCTTCTTTAAGCCCAGAGAAGACCATTTGCCTCACCATCTTTCACATGCTGTCCTTTGCTTTTGGTAAATTATATTCCAGCTTTTGCTAAAACTCCTCAAGTTCTCTGACATCTTTTGTATTTTTAGATGACATTTTCTGAGGTTTGGGAACCTCATAAAACATGCTGGAATCAATCTACTGATTCCGTAAAGGCGATGATGATAGGGGTGAGGATGTTGATGATGGGTTTCATCATTGTGAACATCCTCTGTGCAGTTATCTATAACCTTCAGAATTCTTTCATGTTCACGATTCTAACTGTTCTTCTAAGTTCCCTGTGATGTGAGGGGTGCCTGGGTGGCTGTCGGTTACATGTCCAACTGTTGATATCAGCTCAGGTTGTGATCTCATGGTGGTGGGATCGAGCCCGTCAGGCTCCATGCTGAGCATGGAGTCTGCTTGGGATTCTCTCTCTGTCTCTCTCTCTCTGTCCCTCCCTTCCTCCCTCTCTCTCTCTTTCTCTCTCAAAATAAAGAAAAACAACAACAACAAAAATAAAGAAATAAATTCCCTGTGATGTGATCAAGATAGTCTTGAAATTTCTGTTAAAATATTAGGAAATTGAGCATCAGATGACTTGCCCAAGGTCACCCAACTGCCATGGAGCTAAGCTATATAAAAAAGGCCCCTTTTGCCTGCATATTCTCCTTGATTCCACAGGGGGTAAAAGAGATTATTCCAAAGAAGTCCACCATCATCTTGGAACACCGCATACAATGTTAGCATCCCACAGTCAGAACATCAACTGGTGTTGACAGGCTGGATGTCTGCCTTAGAATCAACACGGAGAATTGTATTGCAAAATCTTTAAAATTTTTCTTTTACATTTATTTATTTTTGAGAGACAGCATGAGACAGTGTGTGAGTTGGGGAGGGGCAGAGAGAGGAGACACAAAATCCAAAGCAGGATCCAGACTCTGAGCTGTCAGCACAGAGTCCGACTCGGGGCTTGAACCCACGGACCACAAGATCATGACCTGAGCTGAAGTTGGCTGCTCAACTGACTGAGCCACCCAGGCGCCCCTATTGCAAAATCTTGAGTGCATGTTCTAAAAAAAACATATATATATATATATATATATGTTCAAAAAAATTTGCAGGAGGCAGGAGTTGCTCTGAATTGAAGTAGTTTGGTTTAAAATAATCTGGTGTTTTTGCTTGACTTGATTAAGTGTGACCCAAATGGTGCAGTGTGGCTGTCTCAAAAGGCCAATCAACCCAGGTTACATTAGTGGAAATGCAGTATAGTGGTTCTTCTGAACTATCTTCTGAGTGGGTCAGGCTGCGGGGGGAGACATACCTCCCCCTGAGGGATGGATTTTTAGGCAGATGTTAACAAATAAGAAAGTGTCCAGAGGCAAGTCTGAAAGGATATTGACAGAAATGTTAAAATGAGTCACAGACAAAATATTAACAGGATGGAATAAAGCCTCGGAAAAGGCTGGGGAAGGATTGTATACCTGAAAGAATGTGGTACGTGTCAACCTCAGCACAGGCAAAAGTGAGTGATTTGGGAACGAAGGCAGATTTCTTCTCCAAAAGGAAAATTCTGCTAACCTTCTCCAAAATGGGACGAGGTATCATGAGAGAGTGGCAGGCAGCATGTGAGCAGAAATGACAGAATCAGACAGGGATTGTAGGAGGATCTAGCCTAGGTAGGAATTGAAAGCAAACATAATGTGCATTCTGATTTTAAAATTGTAGGAGCCTGATTTTATCATGATGCTACTTCATTTTATCAAACCATGAGAAAGCAGGCTCTCTAATGCTGTTCTGGGAAAGATAAAAAATATTTCTTGCCTAATTCACAAATATCTCCTTCACTCATCTGCCCAGTCCCTGTATTTCCTGGTTTGGCTCACTTGTTCTGTACTTCAGTCACTGTGAGGTTGTGACACAACTCCCACCAAGGGTTAGCAGACAAAAGGATTGTTCCCATATGCCCTGAGCATAGTATGTTTGCCCTAGAATAGAGTCCTACCTATATCGTGTCATACAAAAGATGGGGGGGGGGGGTAGTATTTGGGGGAGAATGGAATGGCTTCTGATCAAAGTCATGGGACAATGTCCCCTGAGGGGTCTTTTTGGAACACCTGGCCCATGGGACTGGTGTGTGTGGGGGTGAGGGAATAATAATCCCGCATTTGCCCTTTGCAACCCTAGGAATGCGTCCTCTTCTCCCAGACCTTTCTGGGCCTTGGCACAAGTCAGGGATCGAGGGTGGTGGGGAGGTTAAGAGATTGAAACTGAGACGTGTGTCCCTACCTGGCTAGGGTACCTGGGGCGTTTGAGTTTTCTCATCTGTCAAAGGGGAGGACAATAGTCCTGCTTTAAGAAACTCTGCGAGGCTCACGAGGATCACCGGGGCCAGGAAGTGGACAACTGGCCTGTGGCGCCATGAAATGTGCTGGGTTGTGAGCGCAGGCTGAGTGGTTCCAAGGCTGTTTCCAGCCACCCCGAATCCCCTGAGCCCGTAACTCCCACCATCACCATCCCGGTTCACTGAGGGGCGAACCCACAAGTCCTGCACGCTGGGTGAGATCACACCAGAACTGGGTGGGACTAAACCTTGGGCCCTCGGACCCCCTAAAGACTTTGGGACCGTCCCCTTACCAGGAGCGGCGCCGCGGGCTGCGTGCTCGACGTCGGCTCTCGCGGCGGCGGGGACGCGGCGGCAGGAGGCTCTCGGGGGCCCGTGGCTCTCGGGCGGCTTTCGGGGCGGCTCTCGGGCGGCTTTCGGGGCGGCTCTCGGGGCGGCGGGGACGCGGGTGGCTCCCGGGGATGGGAGGTGGGGTGAGGGCGGGGACGTGGGCGGCTTTCAGGGCGCTGAGGGCGCAGCAGGAAGCGGGGCGGGTGCATTTAGGGAGGAACCGCGGGGGAGGCCGCGGGCTCCAGGGCTCGGCCTTGGCTCCAGAAGGCAAAGGGGATCAGGGAGCCTGGCCCCCGCCCGGCCCAGACGGGGACGGTCCCTTGGGGTCCGCAGCACCTGGAGAGCGGCGAGCGAGTGGGTGGCCGTGTGGCTTCCATAAAGGGACAATTCCTGTTTGAGCCTGCTGGGGTCGCCATGTCTCCTCCCATTGCCTTCCCCGACCCCCCCCCCCGAATATTATTTTATTTTATTTTATTTTATTTTATTTTATTTTATTTTATTTTACTTTATTATTTTATTTTATTTTATTTCATTTAATTTCACTTTATTTTATTTTATCATTTCATTTCACTTTATTTTATTTTATTTTATAATATGAAATTTATTGTCAAATTGGTTTCCATACAACACACAGTGCTCACCCGAACAGGTGCCCTCCTCAATGCCCATCACCCACCCTCCCCTCCCTCCCACCCCCCATCAACCCTCAGTTTGTTCTGTTTTTAAGAGTCTCTTATGGTTTGGCTCCCTCCTTCTCCAGGTTTTTTTTTTTTTTTTTTTTTTTTCCCCCTTCCCCTCCTCTATGGTCTTCTGTTAAGTTTCTCAGGATCCACATAAAAGTGAAAACATATGGTATCTGTCTTTGTATGACTTACTTCACTTAGCATAACACTCTCCAGTTCCATCCGCGTTGCTACAAAAGGCCATATTTCATTCTTTCTCATTGCCAAGTAGTGTTCCATTGTGTATATAAGCCACAATTTCTTTATCCATTCATCAGCTGATGGACATTTAGGCTCTTTCCATAATTTGGTTACTGTTGAAAGTGCTGCTATAAACATTGGGGTACAAGTGCCCCTATGTATCGGCACTTCTGTATCCCTTGGGTAAATTCCTAGCAGTGCTATTGCTGGGTCATAGGGTAGTTCTATTTTTAATTTTTTGAGGAACCTCCACAGTTTTCCGGAGCCGCTGAACCGGTTTGCATTCCCACCAACAGTGCAAGAGGGTTCCTGTTTCTCCACATCCTCTCCAGCATCTATAGTCTCCTGATTTGTTCATTTTAGCCACTCTGACCGGTGTGAGGTTGTATCTCAGTGTGGTTTTGATCTGTATTTCCCTGATGAGGAGCAATGTTGAGGTTGAGCATGTTTTCACGGGTCTGTTGACCATCAGGATGTCTTGGGACCTCATGAAGATAAAAAGCTTCTGCACTGCAAAGGAAACAATCAACAAAACTAAAAGGCAACTGACAGACTGGGAAAATATATTTGCAAATGACATGTCAGACAAAGGGCTAGTATCCAAAATCTATAAAGAACTCACCAAACTCTACACCTGAAAAACAAATAATCCAGTGAAGAAATGGGCAGAAAACACGAATAGACACTTCTCTAAAGAAGACATCCTCCCATTTCCTTTTTAGGACTTGTTAAAATAAACGGAATTTGGAGGTAGAGGCTCTGAAGACTGTGGAGGACCCCCAGGTTAAGAAACACCTCCAGTGACCCAGGAAGGGCCCAGTGGGGCACTCCCCTCAGCACTCATGGTACCCAGACTCCTGTTTCTAGAATGCTTCTGCTTATCAGGGACGGAAAGGCTGTGCTGGTCCACAGAGGGTCTGAAAGAACAACTCTAAGGATGTGATTTCAAGGGCTTTCCAGACCCCGCGTGCTGGCTACCCCTTGCCTGTCCTCTGACAAGCCAGTCTTAAGGGGCTTAATGGGGTTTGGCACTTATGTGTCCATTGATTCCTGGGGCAGGTTTGGGATGCTGTGGCTCTTCTATTTGTCAACTGATTGCACATTTCAAGCTAGAGTAATGAATATAAAACAATTACTTTGCATTTGGTTCTCTTGCCTCAGGAAACTATTGGGGCTATATCAAAATAAAAAGCTTCTGTACAGCAAAGGAAACAATCAACAAAACTAAAAGACAGCCTAGGGAATGGGAGAAGATATTTGCAAATGACATATCTGATAAAGGGTTAGTATCCAAAATACATAAAGAACTTAAATGGCTCAACAACAAAACCCAAATAACACAGTGAAGAAATGGGCAGAAGACAGGAGCAGACATTTCTCCAAAGAAGACATCCAGATGGCCAACAGACACATGAAAAGATGCTCAACATTACTCATCATCAGGGAAATGGAAATCAAAACCACACTGAGATATTACCTCACACCTGTCCAAATGGCTAAAGTAAAAAACTCAAGAAGCAGGGTGCCTGGGTGGCTCAGTCCGCTAAGCATTCGACTTTGGCTCAGGTCATCATCTCACGGTTTGTGAGTTTGAGCCCCACATAGGGCTCTCTGCTGACAGCTCAGAGCCTGGAGCCTGCTTCAGAGTCTGTCTTGCTCTCTCTCTACCCTTCTCCCACTGATGCTCTGTCTCTCTCAAAAATAAATAAACATTAAAAAAAACTCAAGAATCAACAAGTGTTGGTGAGGTTGTGGAACAAAAGGGAAACCCTTGTGCGCTACTGGTGGGAAGGCAAACTGGTGCAGCCACTGTGGAAAACAGTATGGAGGTTCCTCAACAAATTAAAACTAGAACTACCCCATGATCTGGTAATTGCACTACTGAGTATTTACCCCCCAAATTACAAAAAAAAAAAATGCTAATTCCAAGGGATACTTGCATCCTTATGTTTATTGCAGCATTATTTACAATAACCAAACTATGAAAGCAACCTATGTGTCCATCAATAGATGAATGCATAAAGACGATGTGGTGTATATATACAATGGAATACTACTCAGCCATAAAAAGAACAAAATTTTGCCATTTGCAACATGGATGGCTTTAGGGTGTATAATACTAAGTGAAGTCAGAGAAAGACAAATAACATGATTTCACTCATATGTGGAATTTAAGAAAGAAAACAAATGAACAAAGAAAAAGAGACAAACCAAGAAACAGACTCTTAACTATAGAGAACACACTGGTGGTTTAGTAGAGGGGAAGTGGGGGGAATGGGTGAAATAGGTGATGGGGATTAAGAGTACACTTATCATGATGAGCATTGAGTGATATATGGAATTGTTGAATTGCTGTATATACACCTGAAACTAATACAACACTGTATATTAACTATACTGAAATTAAAATCAACCAATCAATCAAAAACAATTATGTTGCAAAGCAAGATCAGAGCATGATACGTGTTTAAGCAGAGCCCAGTCTTATCCTAGAGAATCTCCAGATTCCTTTCTGCTCATATTTGAAGTTAGGCTTAGGGTCACCTAATAATCATTGCCTGAGATTTTGGGGGGGAATATAGTTTGAAACAATCTCTTGCTAATTCAGAAAACCTCTCCATCAAAATAGAAGAGAAATAAAACAGTTTTATCTTGGAACAGGCATTAAACCAGAAGGTGATGTGCGTCACAGGTGATCCTCAAAGAGATTGCAAAGACAAGGAAATTGTAGCCTGCTATGTAGCCAAGCAGATGCAGCCCACTGTATATGTGGTCAGGATAAACTGTAACTATTCCTCAAGTAAGAAGACTTGACTGTATTATTTGTTAGACGCAGTTCACCCTAAATTCACATGGTAATTTGGAGGACCACCTGTTAGCTAATTGCCTTTATCCAAAGGGAAAGTAAACTTCTCCAATCCATCCTTCAGATAATAGGAAGCACAGCACTGGGTAAGGTAAAAAGTGAATGCAAAACCAATTCCTCTGTGGGGGGTGGTAAAGGGGGTTGATTTGCACAAGAGATGCTAGAAACAGTTCAGTGACAACATAAGAAGTCATGAGAGGCCATAGCTTGTGTATTTCTGACACCCACAGCCTCTGCTGCCATTAGCCTTGGGGAGACGTGCATGTATACATTTTTTCATCTGCAAGTTTAACCCAGTGAATAAATAAGTTCTGTGTAGACAGAAGGCAAGAAAGACAGCCATGGGAGGTGAGAGCTAGAAGGATCTCAGAGTTCATCCAGAAGTTTTTCTTCTTCTTTTTTTCCCTTTCATTTTACAGATAAGGAGACTGATGCCCAGAGTGGAGGAATGCCACTCACAAAATCACATGGTTAATTTTACTATACAGTGTAAAGTATGCATCAAGATTATTTTTTATTTCAAATCGATGCCCATTTTCTTTCTTTCTTTTTTTTTTTAATTTTTTTTCAACGTTTATTTATTTTTGGGACAGAGAGAGACAGAGCACGAATGGGGGAGGGGCAGAGAGAGAGGGAGACACAGAATCGGAAACAGGCTCCAGGCTCTGAGCCATCAGCCCAGAGCCCGACGCGGGGCTCGAACCCACGGACCGCGAGATCGTGACCTGGCTGAAGTCGGACGCCTAACCGACTGCGCCACCCAGGCGCCCCCTCGATGCCCATTTTCTATCCCCATGTCTTGAAAAGATTATCCTATCTCTTTCTCTTTCTCTCTCAATTTTTGTAAAAATTGCCAAGAATTTATTGGTTTTTATTGGTCATATTTCCTTTGGTCTATTTCTGGACTCTATTCTGTCCCACTGATCCATATGTATGGTAACCTTTACTAATACCTTGCAGTTATGATGAGTATAGATTTACAGCAAATCCTGCAATCAGAGAGTGTGAATCCTCCAACTTTTTCTTATTCAAAATAGTTTTTGTTCTTTGTTTTTTCATATAAATTTTAGAAGCAGCTCGTGAACAAAAAAATCCCACTCAGATTTTGATCAGGATTGTATTGCTCTATAGATGAAATTGGGGAGAATTGACATCTTAATAATACTGAATTTTCTTATCCACAAATGAGATATCTCTCCATTTATTTAGGCCTTCTGTGATTTTTCTCACCAACATAGTTTTCAGCATAAAAATCTTAGAT